GAGGAGGAGGAGAAGGAGAAGGCGGAGGAGGCGGAGAAGGAGGAGGAGGACAAGGAGGAGGAGGAGGAGGAGGACAAGGAGAAGAAGTAGGACCAGATAGATGAGGAGGAGGAGGAGGAAGAGGAGGAGGAGGAAGAAGGAGGAGGAGGAGGCAGGAGGAGGAGGAAGGAGGAGAAGGGAAGGAGGAGGAAGAAGAACTAGGAGGAGGAGGAGGAGGAGGAGGAAGGAGGAAGGAGGAAGAAGGTGGAAAGCGGAGGAAGGAGTGCAAGGGAGGAGCGGGACTGAGTTGGAGGGAGGAGGGAGAGTGAGGAGGGCTGACGAGGAAGACCAGGGTGAGGAGCAGAAGGACGATGGCGAAGAGGGGAGAGGGGCGAGGAGAGGGAGCGGTTCGGTGGAGGCCAGGGGGGAGGGCGGAGGCAAGGAGCCGCGGCCTCCTTCGCCCACGGAGTGATGTTTAGCGCCCCGTCTCAAGCGAAAGTCCAAGACAAGAAGAGAATGAGGAGGAGGACGAGGACGAGCACGAGGAGAAGAAGGAGGAGAAGGAGGAGAAGGAGGAGAAGGAGGACGAGGACGAGGACGAGGACGAGGACGAGGACGAGGACGAGGAGGAGGAGGAGGAGGAGGAGGAGGAGAGGAGGAGGAGGAGGCGGAGCAGCAGCAGCAGCAGCGGCAGCAGCCGCAGTAGCAGGAGCAGTGCTGGAAGAAGCGTCGCGACGCCGAGGCCTCAGCGCCCTCAGGCAGCTGCGGGCCCAGGCGACGTTCTGGAGCCATCTGGACGTGGCGCAGAAGACGCGGCCAGACCTGAACGCCTCCGAGCACTGGACCGCCCTCGGGGGCCCGACAGCGCAGGGGGAGGGGACCCCTCAGCGCGACGGAAACGCGTCCTGAGGGAAGCGGGTCCTGGACCCCCAGGGGGCCCTCCCCTGAACGAAGGATTGCAAAAAAAAAAATGTTTGTTTGCAATCCTTTGTTTTTTTTTGCAATCGTTTGTTTTTTGTTTTGCGACCAGTCCTTCATCCCGAGCCGTGTTCTGACAGTCCGGGGGCCCGCGGAGGGCCCCCCCGGAAGCCAAACAGATTGCGATCCGCCTCAGGACCCTGTTCTTTCCGGACCTCTGTCTTCCATGGTGGGCCCTGGAGGTCCGGGCGGTTCCAACGTTTCCCCGGAGATGTCGACGAGGGGTAAGGGCACGAAAGGGGGGTATCTCTTGGCCGGGGCCACCAGCTCTCCCCGAGTGGATTCTCTTATCTTATCATCATGGTTGTCAGTATTAGTGCTCTTATTACTCTTAGTATCCTTCTGATTATGATTCTCAGTACTTGTCGTATTAATGTTCTTGCTATTCGTATTAGCATTGGTATTGTTATTACTTTTAGTATTGTTTTTCTTTCGATGGGTTCCACTGGGCCCCCGCGCGTCCGCGCACATGCCCGGGGCCATCATGCGCTAAGCTGCACGGATACGCCCGTGTTGAAACGCGGCATGCATTGCGTTCAAAGAAACGTCCGCGTCAACACGCTGCGTGTGGGCTCGGCACTGTCGGGGACGGCCAAGAGGGGGGTGATGACTATGGGGGGGGACTTTCATGGCGGGGACCAGTATATGTCTCCCCAAATTTCATGGCGCCTCTTCTTATTTCAGAACGTCCCCGGCCCCCCCCCTGGGCCGCGCACATGCCGCCGGCCATGATTTGCGCCCCCCCCTCTTGGACGCCCCCTTCTTGGCCGCCCCCGATGAAACGCGACATGTACTGCGTTCCAGAAAGCGTCCGCGTTAGCAGGCTGCGTGTTGGCTCGGCACTCGATGGCCCACGCGTTGACGAACGTATCGCGCCAGACCTGCGTTTCCAGTCTGCGTGCTGAGCCCCGTGTCAACACGCTGCGGGTGGCGGGTTGCGTGCCAGGGCAGCTGAGACCCTGAGGGAAACGGACCCGCGCGCGCGCGGGAGGAGGAGGAGGAGGAGGAGGAGCATGAGGAGGAGGAGGAGGATGAGGAGTGGGAGGGGGTCGAGAAAGAAGAGGAGTGGGAGGAGCAGAACGAGGAGGAGAATCAGGGAACACGCAGGCGTGCAGAAAGGGTATCACCAGCATTCCCGTGCAAGCATCTGTTACCACACCGCTGTCACAGCACGTGCGGGAGAGTTGGTGTGCTCTTCGCACAGCAGGCTCAGGACCCCACAGGCGTGCCGGCTGGCTATCCTCTTATTGTCGGGGGTGGACAGAACCCCCCCCTGACACGTCGATTAGTGAATTGCTCGTTTTCGCTTCTCGAGAGGGTGCCGCGGCCGTCATTTTCCAGGGGCCCGAGGTCGCTTTCACTAAACCACGTTGTAATGAAGGGGGTGCTGACCATCCCCGATATTGTTTTTGTCTAGGCTTCCCAGATGGGGTACGAGTAGATGGGGTCGGAGGATCTCGCCGCATCGCCGATGCGGCTCGATGTGAATCCCGATCTCGCCACGCCGACGTCGCCGATGCATCGCAGATGCATCGCTGATACATCGCGATCCGGTGCAATCCTCCGACCCCATCTACTCGGGCCCCATCTAGGAGGCCTCTATGTTGTTTATATATGTGTTCCTCGCTCTCATTCCTCTCTTCCTTTTCCCTCCCCCTCCTTAATTTCCCTTTCGTGTGGACGGCTCCTCCTCGTCAAACCCCCCGCCGTGACGGAAGGGTGGGTCGGGCGTTCAGACAAATATCGTTCACAGATGATGATGCGAAATTTGAAAATTCCGACACTACACGGGTTGAAGGTGCCCCGTTTAAAACATGCGGTTCACGTTTTAGTGCCAGGAGCATGTGTCTTGAAACGATGTCACACACACACATTTACAATCATGAAACAGGGATTGTTTTCAAACGTATTCCTCGCGTTAGCGCACCGGACATTCCCTTGAACGATTTCCAGCAGTTTTAGGGATGGAGATTTGCAAATTCTGGTTCTGCATCAAGCGCCGGAAACATTCGTTGTAAACACTCCTTGCAGCGAAAGGGATGCAAGTCGGATCTACTTCAATACGGGGATATCGCTTCAGCGTCGCGCACCGGTTGTTCTTAGAGACACCAGAAAAGGTAGCTGTCAAAATGAGGGCCGACTTTTTGAATTGCTTCAAAGTCAAAGTATTGCACCAAGGGTAAGCAAGTGCGCAACAGCTGGAAGAATGGAGGGAGGCTCCTTTTACAAATGGGGATCTCGCTCTAGACCTCCTGAACTCGCCAATCTGAAGTGTTACAGTGTACACGGCATCACAGCACCTTGTGGTGCTACCTCTTCGAGCCCTTGTCCGCCAGGGCAGGTCCTTGTCAAAGTTGGGTTCTCGCCCGAATGGCAGGCCCCTGGGACACTAGTCTCGCAAGGAGTGCCTGCGAGGACTCCCGAGACGTGAACTCTGGGGGCGGGAGCTGTGCGTGCGCGGTGCACGATGCCGGACGCGTCCTGGGGTTGCTCCGGAACTCCTCCTCCAAGGCAGTGCGAGCGCAAAGGCGGGTCTCCGCCGCAGCCCGCGCCGCGCCGCGCGCGGCCCGCACGGCGCGACGCACGGACCCCTACTATGTTCAGCGGCCTCCGAAGAGCCTCAGAAGCATCAGAAGCCTCAGGAGGCCTCGGAAGGGAAGGGCCACAGAAAGCCACAGGAGCCTGAGAAGCCCCCGCCAGAAACAAAAAGGCTGAGAGCAGCCTCAGGGGGCTTCGGAGCGAAGGAACGGCGGGGACCGCGAGGCCAAGGGAGCGCGGAGCGCCTGCCCGAGGACAAATGCACGTGGAGCCCGTGGGGCCCCGAAGGAGAAGGGAGGAGCCAGAAGGGCGAGGGGCCTCGTGGGCACGAGGAACGGACGGAAAGTTGGGGCCTCCAGGGCTCAAAAGACTCAAAAGAAAAGAGGGAAGGAATGGATCTCCAAGGGCCTCGAAAACGCGGGCGCGGCCGCCCTGGCCCTCAGCGGCCGCCAGCACCCCTCATTGCCTGAGGGGCCGGCACGCTTTCCGCCGAGGGGGTGTCACTGACCCTGTAGCCCCCTCGTACAAGGTGGCGCCGCCCAGCTCCTCCAGCGGATTGCTGTGGAGCCACTTCGTGAGCCCCTCGTATGGGCATGGGCCGAGGACAGGGTGTCCTGGCGCCTCGTGTCGTTACTTTGTGTGTAGCTTGTCTTGGGGTGTTGGTATAGACCTCCGCCCTTCGGCGCCAGAGGCGCTGCGAGGTCCGTCAGGCTGCAACCACCCTTCGGCGCGGGGCGCTATGGTTGCCAGCGTTCTCTCGTATCGGCCTTCTTGAGATGGTTTCCAGTCTCGCTCTCATCCTCGTCGCTGCCGTAAAGGTCCACGTAGTGCAGTAATTCCGAATGTCCGCGCGTACTCTTTCTCATTGTCGTTTCGGCAAATAATATGTCGGTAATACTCCGCTGCGTATCAGTAGTTGTCGTGATCGCATTTGTGATCTCCTCTTCCTCACCACCCTCATGTCCCTCCTCATCCTCCTGTTCCTGCTCGTGCTCCTCCTCTCCTTCTCCTCCTCCTCCTCCTCCTCCTCCTCCTCATCCTCATCCTCCTCCTCCCCCTCCTCGTCACCCTTCCGATCCTCATCATCACCCCCCTCCTCCTGTCGTACTGAGGTGCATCTCAGGAAATCTCCGTTGAAATATCCTCCTCGTCTTCCTCCTCCTACCCTCCTCCTCCTCCTTTTCCTCATCCTCCTCCTCCTCGTCCTCCTCCTTCTCATCATCATCCTGATCCTCCCCCTCTCGCTTTAGAAATCGGCCCCCGGACCTCTCCCAGAACCTGCTCTGATCAGCATATCGAGACGAACCCGCGCATGCGAGGAGTCTCTCGGAGGACCCAAAGATTGCCGAACATCTTACAACAAGCTCGACCTGCGCAGTTCGGTCCTGGATCCTCCTGATTCTCGATGTTCGACGCCTGGTGTTCGATCCTTCCATCCTCGATGTTCGATCCTCTTTCCTCGACCTTCGATCCTCGATCCTCGATCCTTTGGTCCTTGTTTTTGATCCTTCTATATTTCATCGTTCGATCCTTCGATCCTCGATCCTCGATCCTTCGCCCCATTCACTCCTCTTTGCTCTGCCATCTCCCCCCGCGCCGCCACACCCCGCCGCCGCGGCCTGACCCCCAAGGGCGCATATGCGGAGCAAAGACGCCTCGCCGTACCACGCGCAGTGCGCCGAGGTGCGCACCGCGCGCGCGCTCTCCGATGCGCAGCGCGGGCTCCGTTGCCGTCGTCCTCGCCAGCTTCGCGAGGCTGAGGCTCGAGGAGGGTGCCCCAATGACGACGACGACGGTGCCGCCGCCGCCGCCGTCGTCCTCGTCGTCGTCGTCGTCGTTGTCGTCGTCGTCACCGTTGTTGGCGCCGTCGTCGTCGGCGTCTTCGGCCTCGCGAGGCCGAGGCTCGACGAGGGTGCCCCCTCCTCTTGCCCCTCTTACTCCTGCTCCTTTTCTTCCTCCTCAGTATCTTCCTCCTCCTCTCCCTCCCCCTCCTACTTTTCCTCCTCCTCCTCCTCCTCCGCTCCCCCTCCTAGCTTGGAACAGCGAAATCCAGATTTGGTTTCGACCCAGATTTGCGGATCATATTTGGTTCGGACCCGCGCGTGTTGCCCCTTGCGGGCAAGCACATTTTCAGGCAGGTGGGCATGATCGTGATTCGGGTGATCACACTTGTTGGATCGTTGTTTCGTCTTGGGTGGAGGAGCGACCTCGGAAGTGGATGGGGGTCCTACAACTACACTTGGCCAGCGCCAAAGTTTAAGTCGTAGGCATTCCATGGCGATGGCGAACGAGACTCGTGTACCTCGGCAGGCAGAGCCAAATTCGTGGTGTGTGCGAAGTGCGGGCGCAAGAAAGATACAAAAGGATCTCGCTGCTGTCAGCATAGAAGGTCGTCCCTCGTGCAGCCAGCCACCGAACCTGACGGCCCTGGGGCGTAGCATTACCAGTTGGCCCAATACTTGCTGCCAAAGCAAAATAGTTGGCAACCCTTGCGGCTGCAGCTTGAAGCGAACAGGGGGCCAAGCGCTACAATGCCCTGGCAGCCTGGTCGTCGACGACGCAGCCGAAGACGCCCTCTGCTGGGCAATGGTGGCATCAAGCGGAACAAAAACAGGCATCCCTCGAAAAGAAGTTGGATGCAGAGTTTCCACAGCTGGAGAAGTGGTGCAGCGCTCAAGAGGAGCTGGTGGGCACGATCGCCGCATTCCAAGGCGAGCTTAAGAAGGCAAACGCCAAAATCAGTGAAGCGCTGGGCAGCATTCAGGAGCATGCGAGCTCAGATAAATCAAAGACAGAGCCAGCGCCGCCGTCCATCAGCATCCGCGAATGTTTCGAGGGATCCATCGAGTTCGAGAAGGTGTTCACGGTGGACGATTTCCTGGGCGGCGACGTCGTGTTGGCTACGTATGACTTGGAAGACCGAGACAAGGATGAGCTGGGGAAGCGAAGACAGAGGCGGCCAAGCAGATCTAAGTTGCGATCGGCCAGATGTTCAAAGGAGCCGTGGACCAGGCTGAATCCCACACCGGCGCCCAGAAGGTGCGCATGGACAGATTGGCCTGCAAGAAGCGCAAGGCTGATGAGGCCACGCCAGTCACGAGAGGTGAGCCTGGAGCCGGCAGACTTGAAGGAGCAGCTGCACCTGTTGAGCACTCAGCGTCCTCTGCGTCTGCAGCAGCCGCACCGCTCAAGCAGGAAGCACCGAATCATCGCAAAAGTTCGGCTGCTAACGACGACGCGCGCGAAGCGACGCAAGCCCGACCGCCTCGTTGGCGAGATCATCGTTGCAGGGGCGCCGACGGCCGCCACATCGTCGGCGACGCATTGGATCGCGGGCTCGACGAGGGCTGGAGGTGCCGCGCGAGGACCTCTGATGCAATCGTCGAGCTCAGCCCCCTTTTCCAAGGCGGTGCCAATTTTGGAGAGGGCTGCTTTGCGTGGGAACGTCTGTCTTGGCGCAGCCGAGGTGAGACCAGAGGCAACGACGGCCGTCGCCTGCCAGGAAAAAACCACCCAGGCAGGCCGGTTCGAGAAATCGAGCCGCGTGGGGCTGCTTTACGACTCGGCGCCGCTCGGGCGCGCGCGTTGTTCCGGCGAGGGCCATCGAGGAGCACATTGGACCATGTTACGCAGAAATAAACGCACGAAGTCGGACAACGCACGGGGAATGGTCGTCCGAGCGACGGCGAGACGACGGCAAGCGGCTGGAAACCGCAGCGTTGTTCAGCGTGTCCAGGGACTGCGCCTTCTTCGGCGACGGCCTCATCTGTGCTCCAGGTGGCGGGCTCGGCGGGAGACGCCGCTGGAAACGGGGCGCCCCCCCCCCCCCCCGGGCCGCGCCGTCCTCGGGGGAGCTGAGAATACATCCCCAGACTGAATGCTTTTTTCCTGTTGCATGGGAACGCATGGATCAATTTGGATCCAATTGCGCGCGTGCAAGAGTCACGTGATCAAATTTCTGCGTCTTCTGGATCCAGGCCGAAAATTTTCTCCTCTTGCATGGGAACGCATGGATCCATCTGGATCCGATTACGTGCGTGCAAGAGTCACGTGGATCAAATTTCCGTGTCTTCTGGATCCAATGTTTTGGCGTGGAAGTTTCGTGGGTCCAATTCTTCTCCTGGAATAAACTCTTAATAGAAGTTAATGCTGGGGGCCCAAGGGGAAATTGATCCACGAGGCTGTGGGCCTGCAGCCCAAGCTATGATTCTACGGGGGAAGGGTTCCCCTACCGAGAGACACAACACACGGGGACGAGTAGGGAAACACAAACCAGGGGCGGGCGAAGAGGATGATGAGGGAGCTACGGGGGAGGGGGTTCCTTACCGAGAGACACAACACACGGGGGCGAGTAGGGAAACGCAAGCCAGGGGCGAGCGAAGAGGAAGACGAGGGAGGACGGACGGCGGGCCTGGCCACCTCTCCGAACCCTTCCCATAACACGTCGTTGCTCGAGCGCCACAACTGCCCTGGCCAACCCCCGCAGCCCCCATAACACGCGGGTGCTCGAGCGCCACAGCGGGCCCGTCCAACTCCCGCAGCCTCCCATGACATATGCCGCACCCCCCTCGTTGCGAGCGCGATGTGATCCCTGCGTCCGAATCCGCTAAAGCCAACGACACTTCGCACTTGTCATGCGGGCATCAAGAGGAAAATCTTTCGGCCTGCTCAAGCAACAGTTTCGAAGGAAAGAAAAGTCGAGGTCGCGCCCCACCCGCCCACCCCACCCCCAACTGCCCTGGCGGACTCACGCGACGAAACTCTGCAGCATCGAACGAAGAACGGGTCAGGATCGGTCGCAGAGCGCTCCTCGCGCCCTCAGTCTGATTCGCCAGCCGCGCCCTTTGCTGAGACAGCAAGGAAAACTGGTCACAGGATCGCCCCTGCTCAGGGGCTGCCCTCAGATAGCCCAGAGGCCGAGCTTACATCGGCGGCATCTTCAGCAGAGCCCCAGGGAGCGCGATCGCCGGGAGACGCCGCTGGAGACGGGGCAGGGCCCCCCGCCCAGGGGCGCGCGGCCGTCGGGGAGCTCGCGAGGCAGACTGTCAGGGAGAACATGTCAGGAACGGCGGCAGGGCGCCCCTCGAGCCCTCGACCTCGATCGCCAGCCAAGCACGTTGCCGAAAAAGCCGAGAAAACGGCTCACGGGATCATTCTCGTCGACTCATTGCCCGCGGAGATTTTCGGCCAGAAGAGGCATTTCACAGCGAAAACCCTGGGCCCGAACATTTTGCCAGGGGCGGGGGCAACCACGCCGTGGATCGAGAAGCAGTCAGGGGCGGCACGTGCCCCGCGCATCCAGGAGACGGCCTGCACTAGACAGCCGAGGCTGGAGCTCGCCAGTGGACAGGAGCAAATTCCAGGAACCAGCGCAGGGGACCTCGCAGCGCACGGGCCAGGCAGCTCGGGCACGCTCGCCTGGGGACGGGCGATCTACGACCGCGGGGATTGGAGCTGCAGTCTTGGAGTTCGTTCAAAAATGTGAACACCGCGTCCTCTTTCGGCTCGTGGCCCAAGGCACGCGTTCCCGGTTGATCGTCGGGTCGGCGCTCTGCGTCGATCCGTTTGGTCGTTTGGGGACAAAGGGGAATTTCCTTAGCTATTAGAGGTTCTGGCGGCCCACCTGGGAGCGCAGAAGTTGTCGCGCTTGCCGGGGAGGGGCTGGCGCTTAGAGCGCGGGGATGCCATGGCGACAAGGTGGCCCGAGTTAGCGCGCGCCTCCATTTCCATTGGCGGCGCGCCCACGTGCAGGGCCAGACCCGGAGCGCATTTCCGACCGCAGCGGCCGCGAGACACGATGCTCCGATTTCGCCGCGCTGCTACGCGCGCGCATGCGACAGGCAGTCGAAAGGAGCCCCCTGCCTGGGCGGCGCCCCCGCCGAAGGCCCGCCCGCCGCAGGGGCGGGAGGCGAAGGCCAGGGCCAGAGACAAAGCCCAGGAGAATAACCGCACCGGGATATCTCCCGAGTCGACGCCCCCCGATGTCACGGGGAAGCGCGAGCGGCAGTTCGACGGGCCAGTGGACTCAGCGGAGGCGTCGGCAGCGGAGCGGCCTCGAGCAGCGGAGCTGCACCCAGTAGACTTGTTCGAGACACCCAAGACAGATTGCTGGAGTCGCCCTGGGCAGAGCGAAAGGAGCGCAGATGACCCAGGATCAGACTTTGGACAGTAACATGTCCATCTTGGAACGGCGCGACGAGACGGGGGCCAGGGCGCGGCTGCCGGCGCTGAGGTTCCGGGATGGTCCACGCGTCGTTGGAGCCGCGCCCAGCAGCTCCGAGTCAGGACGTCCTGATCGCTAGCAAGCATCGCCCCTGACCCGCCCACGGAGTCGGCCAGCATTGAAAGAGAGGCAGATGGACACGGGGGCGCCCCTCGCATTGCGTGGAGGTGGTCAAGACACCTTGTTCAGGACGGCGCTTCCGGGCGAAGTGGAAGCGCGTCGTCTCCATGATCTGAAGGGGCGCAGCATGGCGTTAAAGGGGTTCGGCGAGTCTGCTGCGCAGGGCCCACGCAAGCTGACACGCGCCATCAGTAGGCCTCAATTGGTCCGAGGAGCCTTCCGCGACAGCCAAAGGTTCAGAGCATGGTGCAGTGGGAGCGGCGGCCATCGAAGCAGCTCTGGCAGAGTGGGGAGTGTCGAGGATGTCTTCATCTCGAGCTGACGAGATCCATCTAATTGTTTGCAGGGAAAATTGAAGACGCATGCGCCTTTAGAGCCGCACATTGTCGACCCCGGCAAAAGTTTCGAGCCAGGCACA